GGCGTCCGCGCGTCGCGCTGCGCTCGAAGCGGCGGCCCAGCGCCTGCCCGATTGAGAGAGCCGGCCGGCCGGGGGTACTTGGCGCGTCGCCGGAGGCTCTAGCCGGACGCCTCCTGGAAGGCCTCCAGAGCAACTTCCAGAACCACCACGAAGACGCACCCCCCCCCCCACACACCACGAGCAGCCCCCACAAAGACCCCACAAAGGCCCCACAACTCATCCCACGACCGACCCCCGACGCCGCGCCGAGACACGAGAAGACAAGGAAAAGGTGGTGTACGAGAGGGTCCTTTTGCCGGCGCCCCGCGGTGTTGTTTTTTTCGCGGGGCGGCGGGGCCGACGAGCGGTGCTCGTTTGGGTTCAATTGGGTCGCGTCGCGGGGTGGGCGGCGCGACGGGCCGGGAGGGTCCTCCCGGCGCGCCGCGCCGCGCTTTCGAGGCGGGGTGGTTCGAGGGTTCGACGAGGTTTCGGAGCTTCGGGGCGGCGGCGGGCGCTCAGCCGACGACGCGGACGGGGGCCGGGCGGCGGTCGGGCGAGCCCCCTCGGTCGTCGTCGCCGCCGTCGTCGTCGCCGTCGCACGACGAGTCGTCGCGGAGGCCGAGCGACCACTGCTCCATGGGCGCGTCGTCCTCGTCGGAGAGCGTCTCGAGGGAGGGCTCGCGGTGGGCGATGGAGGAGGGCATGATGAGGGACGTGGACGTGACGCCCATCTCGCGGCGGCGGCCGAGCTCCGAGTGCACGAATTTGCTGTAGTCGGACGACCGGTACCAGATGCGGTTCTTCTCCTCCGAGGGGAGCGCCGTGAGGGACTCGGAGCGCACCATGGTCACGGTCGTGTGGAAGGAGACGCTCTTGCGGATCTTCGGCGCCGCGCCGCGCGACCGCGCGCGCTCGAGCGCGTCAGTGACGTCGTCGGCGGCCGAGCCGTGGTAGCGCTTCGCCTCCGGCGAGTCGGCGTCGTCCATGTCCTCGTCGAAGGTCTGGGACGAGGGGCCGGAGCTGTCGGAGAGGGAGCTCGAGCCCGCGGACTCGTCGAAGGCGCTGACGCCGTAGTCGCGCCCGCCGGGCCTCCCGCCGCGCGCCCACGACGGCTCGCTGTGGCTCCGCTTGAGCACGCCCCGGGGGCAGCGCGGCGCCGGCGCCTGGTCCGGCAGCTCCATGACGCTGTCGGGCGACCGGTCGCGGTCCTCGCGCTCGCAGCTCCGGTCCCGCTGCGGCGCCGGCGCGCCGCCGGCCGCCTCGTCGAAGCGGTCCGCGGCGCGGCACCGCGGGGGGACGTAGGCGCCGCCGCCCGGGGCGGGGTGGCGCGGCTCGCTCTCCAGGGAGCACTTGGGCGGCGCCGCGTTGCTTTGAAAGTCCATCTCGTCGGCGAGATGCTCCGCTTGTCTCTGTTGAACGAAAGAGCTGCCGATTTGGTTTCCCATGGGCGTGACCACTGCAACCATGCAATGGCGAGGCTCTTGGGATTGCAAGCGTGCAACTGAGGCCGATTCCGAGTAAGGCGCTGCTTGATGTCGACGACGCGGGTTGTCGGTGCTCTGATGTACGTGTGGGACGCGACTGCTACGTTGATGACAAGGACCAAATAACACTAACCCTAATGTTCCGCCGGGGTCAGCTCCCTGGAGGACGCATATTTCGCGTGAGTGCGAACCCGTGGGAGGAGACATAGATCAAAACGCGCGGTGCGTTCGCGTCGATATAGTCGGGTGCGCGCGACCGAAGCCGACCGAAGCCGCGGCCGCGGCGCGCCGTTGCCCTCCTCGCCCGACGCAAACGCCTGTACAACGGTAGAAATACACGATGCCGTCCCCGATCACCAGCCTGCGCCCCTCTGCACGCATCCCCGAGCGAGCCCGGGGCGTCCATCGCGCCGCCCCATGTCCGGAGCTCGTGCCCCCAGGGGAAACGTCGATTGGGCCGGCCCGAAGACGTCCGAAGAGCGCATGGTGGGCTGCTCCGAAGAGCGCATGGTGGGCTGCTACAAGTAGCCCCGAAGGATGGAGACGCCCACGAGGAAGACCCCCGGGATCCGCGCGCGCGAGCTCTACGAGTCGGGCACCATCGACGGGGCCCAGTACGAGGCCATCGTCTCCGCGGACCGGCGGTTCCAGAAGGAGGAGGCGCGCTGGCAGGCCGAGGTCGAGGCCCACTACGGCGCGGCGCCGCCGGCGGCGGACTGGACGCTCTGCGGCGGCGGCACGGTCGACGCGGCCTACCCGCCGGGCCCGCCGCCGCTGATGGTGCCCGTCGCCGTCCAGGAGAACGCCTACGTCTCCGGCAAGGGCTGGAAGCACGGCTGCGAGGCTTTCCGGCGTCGGAAGAAACAAACGGAAAAGAACACCGAACTACCCCCGCAGGCGAGGCCAACGACGCGCCGCACCCCGACGTCGTCGCCGTGCCCGTGGCGTCGCTCGGCGGGTCCGACGCCGCGGTCCGCGACGCCGCGGCGGCCGCGGACCGCGAGGCGCGGCACGACGCGCGGCTCGCGGGGCTCTGGCGCGCGGAGCTCGAGAGCGGCTGCGACCTCGCCACGAGCCGGCTCTGCCGGGTCCACGAGCGGCCCCGCGCGGGCGTGCCCGCGGCCGCGCGCGCGGCCGCGTGGCGCGAGCTCTTCCTCAAGGACCGGCTCCACATCACGCGGGATCTCTACGGCATCCTCAAGGACAAGGCGCGCGCCGCCATGCGCCGCGCCGAGCGCGAGGCGCCGGACGACGACGGCGACGAGGGCGCGCGCGAGTCCGTCGCGTTCCACGGGCGCGAGAAGTCGCTCGAGCTCCTCGCGCTCGACGTGCCGCGGACGCTCGCGCGCTTCGGGAACCAGAACGCCGGGTCGCCGGGCGAGCTCGGCGACGCGCTCACGGAGGTGCTCCGGGCCTACGTGCTCCACCGGCCCGACGTCGGCTACGTCCAGGGCATGTCGTATCTCGCTGCGGTCCTCGTCCTCGCGCTGAAGGGCGACCCCTTCGACGCCTTCGTCGCCCTGGCGAACATGCTCCAGCGGCCCTTCTTCTTCGACTTCTACCGGCTGGACTCGCGCGACGTCAAAGCGCGAGTCGGCGTCTTCGACGACGTCTTCGACGCGGCGCGGCCCGCGCTGCGGCGCCGCTTCGCGGGCCTCGGCCTCGACTCGGGCGTCTTCCTCCTGGACTGGGCCCTGACGCTCTTCGCGAGCGTCCTCGAGGGCGGCGTGCTGCACCACGTCTGGGAGTGCTTCCTCATCGGCGGGCCGCCGTTCTTCGTCCGCTGCGCGCTGGCCATCCTCGCGGTCCTCGAGCCCGAGCTCCTCGCCGCCCCGGAGATCCCCGACGTGCTCGACGTCCTGCGCAAGCGGCCGGGGCGCATCGACGACGCGACGCTCTTCCGCGCGGTCGCGCGCGTCGCCGTGTCGCCGGAGGCGCACGCGGCGCTCCTCGCGGGCCGCCGCGAGAAGCCCCGGCCCCCGGGCGCGCCGCCGGCGCCGGCGCCCTGCCGCTTCGGCTGCGCGCCCATGTAAGCTTCCGGAGCTCCTCGGCACGTCTCGAGGGCATTTCGCCACGGGAGGGCATTCGCGAGACGAGCTCGGCCCTCTCCGGGCGCGAATATCCAGTCGTCGTCAATTTGAGCTCAAGTGCCTGTTCTGGGTATGTCGACGCCTACGAAGGACATCTGCATCGTGTGCAACGGGCCGACGATCTTGCCAACCGGGAACGAGCAGCTTGCCGTGTTTATTTGCGAAGGTTGCGCCGGAGAAGTTCACGGAAAGTGCTCGGGTCTTTGGGCGACGCCAGCGAATCAAGAAGCGCACTACTATTGCGCGACCTGCCTCGCGGACGGCGCTTACACTGGAACGAATCCGATTACGCCCACGCCTGGAGTCCGCGGGCGCGATCCCGTACTGGGTTCCGCGAGCGCGAAACGCTACTACTTGGGTGACAACCCGGAATATGAGTACGAAGCGTTCGACGTGCGCGGGCCGATCGTGCAGCTCAAATGCGTGAAGGCGCCGGGCGGGCGCGCGAAGGTGTGGATCGGGGAGTACGCCGCGGCGTCTCCGCGCGCGCGTGTTTCGGGACGACCGCAGTCACCGCGCGCATCCACAGGCCCAAGGCGGTCCACTGGGAGGAGCTCACGGAGGTCGGCGCGGCGCTGTCGCCGCGGACGCGCCGGCCTACGGACCGCTTTTATCAGCGAGAGGCGCCGCGGCCCAAGGTGCGCCGCCTCGAGCGCGCGGACACGGAGCCTTTGGAAGAGGTCCGCGGCCTCGCGGCGCGCGCCGACGAGGGCCGCGCGTCTCCCCACGAGGGCGACGACCTCGAGGGCGACGATCTCGCGCCGCCGCCCGAGGGCGCGGACCTGCCGCCGGCGGACGAGGGCGAGGACTCCGCGGCCGAGGAATTCGACCGCAAGTCGGCGCCGCGATTCTCCCCCGCGGCGGCCGCGCGGCTCCAGGAAGCCCTCGAAGTCGCACAGGCGGAGTCGAGCCTCGCCGCGCCGCCGGGGCGGTGGTTCGAGCCCGGCCAGGAGGCGCGGAAAATCCTGCTCGGGACGCGCGTCCGCGGGATCGAGTACGAGGGCGCGCACCTCAACGTCGACGCGCTCTCGCGGGCGCGCGTGCTGGTGCTGGAAGAAGAAGCGGCCATCTCGAGCACGGTCGACGACCCATTGCGTTTGAATGACGCGCGGCTTCAACCCGGCATCCTCTGTGAAAAGTACGACTGGACGAAGATCGACGACGAGTCAGACGTCGCCATCGTCGTCGAGTGCACGGGCGCGGTCGACTTCTTCCTGCTGGCGCTGTCCGTGTCGGGATCCGTCTCGTCGGCGACGCGCTGCAAGGGCGCGAGTCTGCAGACCGCCGACTTTCGGGCGGCAAAGCTCATCGCTAAGCTCAATCACTTCTCCGTCGAGGATTTGCTGGAGAAGTTTCGAGAGCACGCGCCGCGCCAAGAACGTTCGCGGCATCGGGTCTCGGACGGATCCATGTATTGTTTCGGCATGCGCTGCGACGCCCGCGACGGCAACACGTTTAGCAGCTATTCCGCGAAAGAAGATCTTAAGGCGGACCAAGCCGCGCTCGTTGCCATCGCGTACCAGAATAAGATGCTTGGCGACATCGAAGCGCTCCTTCTCCCTCCGGTCGGCGACGCTCGGAAACGGCATCTCGCCCTCGCGGACGAGAACCTGAAGCAGTACGGGAAACGCGCGATGATGATCGAAGATAATCCCGGGGGATTGGATGGCTCCGCGTCGCCCGCCCACGCGTTCACGCGCGGCTACGGCGTCCAGCTGCACCAGGAGATGAGCTCGTCGCTGCCCGAGACCATCTCCTGGCCCGGCGGCCAGGACGCCGCGCGCGAGCTCGCCGACGGCGCGCTGTGCTTCGCGATCCTCGACGCGGGCGTGCTCCTCGACGTCGGCGAGTCCGCAAAGGGCAGCGGCCGCGTCTGCATCATCCCCGGCGACACGTGGCACGCGACCCTGCGCTGCCTCGACGACTCCGGGCGCTACCACAAGGTCGTCGGCACGAGCCTCCTGTCGAAGAACAACCTCCTGCCGGCGGAGGACGACTAGCGCGCGAGGCGCGCCAATGTACACACAGCCGCACCCACGCTTAATGTAAGAGCCACACCCCCTCAGAGCCCCGCGCGCCAGTTGCCGACGAGCTCGGACACGTAGAGGACGCGGTTGTAGAGGCGTGCGCTCTTGACGACGTCGCCCGCGGCTACGGTCGCCGCCGCGCCGACGTCGCCGAGCGCCGGCGGGAAGAAGGCCCAGCCCTTTGGCCAGCCGTCGTTGGGCCCGCCGTCGCAGAGCTTGCCGTCGACGGCGAAGAGGATCATCTTGGGCCCGCCGTCCGCTATTGCCGCGACGTGGTGGTCGCCCGGCGCCTTCAGCCGCGTCGCGCACGTCGGGTCCGTCCAGTGGACGCCCCAGACGCCGGCCGTGTCGTTGAGGAGGAGCGACACCGTGCCGTTGGCGAAGCCGGTCAGGCGCGCGCCCGCGCCCGCGGCGTCCGTCGCGTCGACGAGGACCGCGGCGCCGGCGACGGCCGCGAGGCTAGAGACCCAGGCATCAATCGTAAAACCGTAGCGGTCGGACGTGTAGTTCATGAAGTTCGGCAGCGCGCCCGCCGGGAGCGGCGCCGGCGCGGAGCTCTCCCAGACCACACCCGCCGTCGCGACGGTCTTGGCGGCGTTTTGGCCGTAGAGGCCCTCGAGGAGCGCCGGGGCCACCTCGTGGGTCTTGACCTCGGAGCCCGGCGCGCCCTTGTAGGCCTCCGTGATGTAGACTTTGCCGCCGTCGGTGACGACGTCGGGGTAGCCGTGGAACTTGCTGTGGACGCGGTCGTAGAGCGCGAGCTCCGGCTGGCTCCACTTGATCGTGCCGCCGGCCTCGCGGCCGACGGTGAGCCACATGTTGTTGCGGTCCGACACGGTCGCCGCCGCGGCGAAGGCGCCGAGGGGCTCCGTGTTGTAGTAGGTCATGAGCCAGAGGCCGTTGGGCTGCTTCTTGGGGCTCAGCGGGCCCCGGGGCTGCTTCACCCAGGCCTCGGACCCGGACGCCCACGTGTCCTCGTAGACGGCGTAGGAGCTGTTCGTCCAGGCGTCCAGGCTCGAGAACTTGGAGGTCGTCGTCCGCGCGTGGCCCATGTAGCCCTGGTCCGTGCGCCAGAAGAGCGCGAGCTTCGCGTCGCCGTCGAAGGGCAGCACGTGCGGCTCCTCGGTGACGCGGCTCGGCGAGTCGTAGGCGCCGACGGCGCCGATGCCTGCGGAGGACGACGGGGTCGGATCGCGACTCCGGGCGGGGAAAGGGACGGGGGGAGGCGTCGCGCGACGGGGTCGGATCGCTCCGCGGAAATAGGAGGGGGCCCGCCGCGCGACGCCGGCCGATGCCGTGGTCGTCGTCCGGCCACATCTCCCAGGTCACCTTCGTCGGGTCGTCCTCCGACAGCAGGTTCCTCGACGCGAGGACGAAGATCTCCTCGGGCGCGGCGACCGCGTACGTGCCGATCTTCGTGAACGCGAAGAGCGCGGTGCCGTCGTCGAGGACCTTGACGTGGTCGACCTGCCACATGATCTGGACGTCGCCCGTGCCGTTCTTCGATTTGCTGAAGGAGTTGACGGATTCGATGTAGCCGTAGGGCACGGGGATCTCGTAGTGGTCCTCGCTCCACGTCGCGCCCTCGTCGTCGCTGTACTTCCAGACGAACGCGCCGAGCATGTCCGCGCGGAAGCTCGTCGACGGCGCGGCGCCGGGCAGGTGGCTCACGTTGTGCACGTTCTGGATCCAGACGGCGAAGACGCGGGACCCGTCGGGCCGCGCGACGACGGACCCGTAGGCCGAGACCTGGGCCGTCGTCGCGTTGCTGTAGGGCTCCAAGGCGACGAAGTCCGTCCACGTCTTCCCCCGGTCCGTGGAGCGCATGCCGACCATGTGCTCGCCGGGGCTGCCCTCGGCCCAGCGGGGCGCGGCGATGTAGGTCATGACGCAGCTCCACGTGCCGGAGGGGAGCACGGCGCAGTACGGCTGGCACGAGTAGCCGCCGTCCCGCAGCGTCAGGCCGTTGGGGATCCAGCGCGGGTCGAGGAGCGGGTCCGCGGCGGGCGGCGGCGGCGGCGCGTAGCCGGTCGGGTCGAAGGCCATGAGCCGGAACTCGCCGCCGCACGTCTCGGTCGCGTTGCCCACGCACGGATCGTCGCACTCGGCGAGCGGCGCCGCGGCCGACGCGTTCGCCAGCGCGTGGCCGCAGGAGCACGCGTGGCCCGCCTCGACGCCGGCGACCTCGTAGTCGAGCGCGCGGCACTGGGCCGCGCAGTAGCGCACGGTGAGCGCGGCGCAGTCGCCGGTGCCGGCCTCGCAGACGACGTGGGGCAGCTGGCGGGCGTCGACGCGGTCGACGTAGCACCGCGGCGCGGCCGCGGCGGCGCCGACGAGCAGGGCTACGAAGACTGAGTGCATCGTGCGACGAGATCCGCGATGGCGGCGACGACGGCGAGAACAGGGCTGCCACGAGAAGGCAGTTTCTGAGGCGCCAAGAAGCCTTCAACGTGATGAACTTGAAGTGGATCGTTGAGAGAACGACTCTGGGTTGGGGTCACAGCGCGTCGTTACCGCCGCGCGCGCGGCCCCGGTCGTCGCGCGCGAGGAGGTCCCCGAGGGGGTCCTCGGCGCGGATCTTGCCGTCGAGCATGTCCTGGACGGAGAACTGGGACTTGAACTTGTCGCTCGACTCGAGGAACTTCTGCATCACGGCGTCGTCGACGTCCATGCCGTCGTCGCGCGTCCAGTCGACGTCGCCGACGAGCGCGCCCGCGGTCTCCGCGGCCGCGGCCTCGCGCGCGCGGCGGTCGCGCGCGGCCGCGCGGGCCGCGCGGAAGGCGGCGACCTTGGCGCGGAGGCGCAGGGGCGACGTGAAGCGCCAGGGCGCGGGCTCGGCGAGCACGGAGAGCGCGTCGCCGTCGGGCTTCCGGTCGACCTGGGCAGCAAAAGGGTGCGAAATTCCCAACTTCAAAGGCTCCTATCTCGGTCGTTTTCCGCTCGTTTCGGCTGATTTTTGGACGAGCGATCATCTCTCGGAGCGCTCTCGAAGCATAGGTGCTGTTTCCGAAACGCGCGCGCGCGGAACGCTCACGTTGAAGCGACGTTGAATCACCCTTGTGCTGCCCTCCGGTCGACGATCACGAGGACGTCGGTCGCGAGGTACATGACGACGAGGTCGCGGGCCCGCGGTGGCGCGAGGCGCGGCAGGGGCAGCGTCAGGCCGAACACCCGGACGTACATGCCGCCCCAGAAGCGGGGCGCGAGCGCGAGCGTCGCCGAGTCCCGCGGCGACCCGTCGGCGGCCGCGCCGAACGCGAGGAGCGGCCCGAGCACGCGCGCCTCGCGCTCGACGACGAGGCCGCCGGTCCGCGCGCTCGGCCGGAAGCGCGCGAACGTCGGGAAGAGTCGCCGCAGGGGCAGCAGCTCCTCCCAGGCCCCCTGGCCCGCGAGCAGCGTCGAGCTCGACCGGTCGGTGACGCCGTTGTTCGTCGCGACGAGCACGTCGATGTCGCGGCCGATGGCGCCGAGCGACGCCGCGGCGTCGGCCCGCCGCAGCGCGCCGACGACCCGCTCCTCGATGCCCACGACCTTGTCCTGGACGCGGTTCAGGCGCAGCTGGCCGCTGATCCACGTCTCGTAGTCCGCGTCGCTCGCCGCCTCGAGGCCGCCGACGGGCCGCTCGGCGCACTGCGGGCCGAGCCGCGGCGCCGGCGACCGCGGCGCCGTGTAGGCCGCGGCGCAGGCCGCGAAAGAAACCGCGGCCAAGCGCGAAATTCTCGCCATGCTCACTTTGGCGGGCAACTTGAATGCGTCAAGGTTCGCATCAACTTGCGATGTTGAACCGACGCCTTGCCCCCCCCCAAAAACGGAAGCGAAGCCTATGCGCCCTCGGCGAGCGCCGCGAGGGCCTGGAGGAGCGCCTGGCACCGGGCGTGGTCCTTGAGGTAGAGGAACCCGACGAGGCACTCGAGGCCGGACGCGTCCTGGTAGACGCGCTTCTCGAGGCGCATGGGCCCGCGGCGCGAGACGGCCTGCGCGGGGCGCGCGTCGACGCGGGCGGCGAAGGGCGACGCACGCCGGGCGCCCGCGTTGCGCCCGCGCTTGAACCACGCGGCCTCGGCCTCCGTGAGCTCGAAGCCGTCGTCCGCGGGCCCCGCGAGGAGCTTCCCGATGGCCTCGGCCTGCGCCTCGGCCCGGATGGCCTCGACGACCTGCGCGGGCGGCGGTCGCCGCGGCGGCGGCCGCGGCGGGGCGCCCGCGCGCGCCCGTTTCTGCTGGTCCACGAGCTTCACGGGCGGCCACAACGTCCTCGAGCGCCAGAAGAGCTCGAGGACGCTGTCGCCGACGTAGGCCAGCGTGTTCGGCGACAGGCGGCCGATGTCGCCTGCGACGCGCGCGCGTCGCGGCCGCGGCGCGCGGCGCTTGGCAACTCACTCGGCGCGACGGCGGCGCCGCTGCCCTGAAGCCCATGAACAGCTCCGCGTCGGCCGCGGCGCGCGGGCGCGTGCGACAGGCGCCGGTGCTGCCGTGCAGCAACGCGCTCGCGGTGTGCAGCATTGCGACGGCGGCAATAACATGGGCGAAGTGCTTCTCTCGTGCCATCGCAAAGTGCCTCCGACCTTCGATGTGTTGACGTTCAATATGACGTTCAACGCGTCGTTGGAAACCCCACATTTTTCTCGTGTCCAACCCTGCCCGACACCCGTGCTGCCCATCCCATTGCAGCAGCTCGGCGCACCCCCCCCCCCCCATCGCCCCATTGCAGCAGCTCGGCGCTACCCCCGCCCCCATTGCAGCCATGTCCGACGATGAGGCCCGCACGGACACCGTCGATTTGCTGCATTCCTATCCCCATCACCAGCCGAAGACCGGCAGCGACTTCATCGAGAGCGAGTACTACACGAGCCTCATCTACCTCGCGGCCATCGTCGGCGGCATCGGCGTCATCCTCCTCGTGGTCCACGCGCTCTACCGCATCTGCCTCGCGTGCCGGAGCTGCTGCTGCCGCCG